AACACAGACAAAAAAAAAAAAGAATTTAAAAAAGTGAAAAAGGACAAGGAAAAAAAACAAGTGACTTTGTTTATTCTGCAATACCTCAGTTTTTCTTTGGATTCCGTTTTGCTGCCATCGATAAGAAGTCGCGTAGACTCGTCATTATATAATCTACGTAACGTGGACGGAGCCGCTCACCTCACCTCTGATCAACTTCTTCATTCTATCACTACAAGCGCAACACTAAGACGGGACGAACCGCCCCCAGGGTCCGTGTCGCTTCCCCCCTCGAAGGTTCAACCCACGATCTGCTCGTAGTTACTTCTTCCAAAAAAAGGACTCGCTGCATTTCTCTCTGCGTCCCGAACCCGTCGGACACTCCGGCTGCCGCAGCGACGCAGCTGGGCCGACGGCTCGGACGCACAAAGAACCGTAGAAACACAAACAAACTAGATTTAACGAAGTAGATCTGAAGCAGGGACACCCACATGGGAAACTAAATCATCTGCCGGTCGGCCAAATGGGAATCCCTCCTGGCCAACTGAGGCTGCTCCGTGTGTGTGTGTGTGTGTGTGCGTGTGTGTGTGTGTGTGTGTGTGTGTGTGCGTGTGTGTGTGTGTGTGTGTGTGCGCGTGCGTGTGTGCGTGTAGATCCCTAAAGATCACCCCAGATGAGAAAACAAAGTTGACGTTGCAATCATGTCATGGAGTCTTGAAGTAATGAGAAGTTTCTATTTATATCCATTGTTTTCACTCGTCCGCATCATTTTGTCTTTTTAAATCCATCATGCTCTCTGAGAGTTTTTGCTCTGAATACTTTTAAAGTTCTCTTTACTGGTCCGTCTGTACACGCAGACGATTTATAGACCGAGTCTCTGTCCTATGTATTACACCTCCATATACTCTTACTATGTTGTTATTGCTATTATTTGCCTTTTTTGGTTCCAAAGATTTTACTGAAGAAGCACATTTTTGGTCCTGATGTATTTCATATTTTTGTGGGTGCCTTTTTTTTTTTTGCCTTTTACTGTATGTTATGTTTATCTGTGGGTAGAAGCTGTATTTTTCAGTACAGTGTTGAAACAGCACCCAGGGAAATGTCACTGAAGCTCCAAAAAGACAGAGGAAATGTTGAAAGTATTGCAGCAATTAGGGAATTCTGAAAGTTGATTTGCTCCGGACACTAATTTATTGTCTCTCTCTCTCTCTCGTTTTGTTTTTTAAATGAACACACGCTGTAGCTGCAGACAAGAGACATCAGAGCAGACGGAGACATGAGGGATTTAGAGAAATGCAGGAGTAGACACACACACACGAGGATGTTTTGCATTGCGTTTGGCAGCCGGGCCAAATTACAGGCGAAAGTAAATGTGGGAGAAATGTCCGCACAATGAGGAAAGGGCCCTGTTGCCCGGCGGTGGCCACCTTCACAACAATGAAACAATGCGCTGAGTCCAGGGACGTTGTGGCAGTGAAGGTGAGAAGCTGAGCCATTTATCATTAGCTGACAGGATAACAACATCCCCTGCCGTCTTTTTTTTTTTTGGGTTTTCCAGGGGGATGCAGTGCGCTCAGGGCGGAGCGGACAGTGTGAGGAGGGCTAATGTTGTTTTGTA